TCACTGGAAAATGATATGCTTTTCCATATAAAGGAGTGGAGCACTTTTCCACTTGATGGGGCTGCTATGATTTTATTATTTTTCCATCATTCTCTTCTTTATTTCTCTTTTGCCTGTAGTGTTGATTCATTCATGGAAATGTACAGGGCTCAACTCTTCTGCTCTGTGTGGGAATGTGAGCCAGATCCTAGGACTTCTGCTTTGTTAATTCTCAGAGAGCATGAACCCTGTAAGGCAGAGCTGAGTCAGCACTGGGCTGGCGTGTGTGTACCCCAGGATGGAATGGGGCCTTGAACAAGCACCTAGCCACCGCTCTGCTTCCTGGCCAGATCTCTGCAAAGGCACAAAAAGCATCGCCTGAGTTGCTAATTTTAAAAAATTTCCAGAGATAGATTTTATATTCAGGCTGGTTAGCTATATGCTATACTCAGGAGCAAAACTATTCAAGAGCCATTTAGGGAACTTAAATTAAATAAAACTTAGCTAGCAAGTATGAGAACTGGGTTTAGGACCTCAGCTCTGTGTGAGTGTATGTGTGTGTGAGTGTGTGTGTGTGTAACCACACAACAAAAACAAATGAATTACAAACTTTTTGGCTCTAACAGGCACTTTCTCCTTGACCTATGAGCTGTGCTAGGGCTGGAGGAAAAGCAAGATATTCAAACTCAAATTTCAGCCTTAAGGGCTTGAGCTAGTTGGCTATATCTGTCCACCTGGAATTGGTTTTGTGCTTTCTTTGATGCTGGTATACACTTAAACCAAAAAAAAAAAGTTTTTGCTGACGTTCTTTAATTCCCCAAAAGTCAGAATATGAAGCTTATATTTAATAGCAAGGGAAAGTGGCACCTTAAGCAATAGTGTTTAACCAAGGGATTGAGCATTCTTCCTTGGCTCCAGCGTAGAAACATTTCATGTTCCAGTGAGTATAATGCCTGTGTCATGAATACCACTCTTTCCCAGAAGGCTTAGCCAGGAAGGACATTTCTTTAAAATAAATACTTACTGCCAAAGTACTAAATACAGAGTGCAACCTAATTTTCAGTTCAAGTCTTAGTATCTAAGAAGCTTAGTGATAGGTACTCAGTAGTTCAAATTGTGTCACTTCTCTAGGTGGTGCCTTGGTTTTTGCACATATGTGCACGTGAGTGAGTGTACCACCATGCGTGACAAAAGTCCTCAACCTGGGGCCTCCCTGGTGGCGCAGTGGGTTGAGCGCAGCGCTGTGAAGCTGTCTGCAGCCTCTGCAGCACAGGTTCGATTCCCAGCCAGCCAGGGAGAAACCCACATGGTGCAACAGACCTCCTCTCACCCTCCCGCACCTCTGGTCTATACCCCAGTTCTTGTATAAAAATAAATAAATCTTTAAAAAAAAGTCCTCAACCTGGCCAGGCTCCCAAGTCTGCAGAGAAATATTGTGTTATTTTAATGTTCTTCTGCATCAGCCTCAAAGGACACATATCTTTGTGGTATTAAGATCCCAGAAACCATTCATTCTTTTCTTTCAGCTCCCACACATTCATTATGACCTTGAGGGTAGCTACCTTCCCATCCCACAGCAGGGCTACTGATACCAGTGTCAGGCCTCCTTGTGCCTGGGTTAAGTTGCACACAGTAGGTTAGACACTCCTCCAGGAGGAGGAGACACTTCTGGAAAAGACTAAACTTGATCTCTTGCTCTGAACATGGGGGCTGTGTTCTTTACAACGCAGTCAGGCCCCTCATTGCACTGAAAAACAGTACAAAAAAAAATTGCTAAATAAGTAGGAAGAAAAGCCTAGATTCTGCTTTAACTTAAAAGTAAATGAGAATGAACAAATAATTGGGTTTAAAAGGAAGCTACATTGCAATGAGAGAAAGAGGGGTTAGAATCTAGCAATTCTTGTCAGAGTTTATAAAGTAAAGGCATTGTCCTATTTCACGTGGGTGCTACTCACTGGCAGATTTTTACAGGCCAAATAGGTACTGGAATTCTATTTTGGGGAGTCTGAGACTGAGTTCAGAAGTGTAAGTGATTCCTTAAAGGGTCTATTAGAATGCAAATCTGTGATGGGAAGCTAATTTATTAGAAAAGCTATGGAAACAACCTAAATGGCAATCGACACAAGACTGGATGAAGTAGATGTGAAATACTCCTCAATTATAAAAATAGATGATATCTTATTATTTATGACAACATGGATGGAATTTGAGGTGATTGTTCTAAGTGAAATAAATCAGAGGGAGAAACGCAAACATATGTTTTCGCTCATATGTGGAAAATAAGCAATACAGATGAACAAACAAAATAAAACAAAAACAAACCCTTAGGTACTGATGACAGAATGGTAGTTACCAGAGGGAAGGGGCCTGGGGGCAGGTAAAACAGCTAAACGGGGTTAGTTGCTTGATGGTGAATAGAAATTAGGTTTTTGACTGAGCTCATTACTTAGCATATACAGATATCAAACTATTAATATAATGCTGTACCTGCTTCTTATATGTAGTTGTAAAACTTACATGTAGTTGTAAATCAAAATATTAAAATTTTAAACTCTTTTTAAATTAGAGAAGAAAGAAAAGTCAGTATAAGAAGTACCTACCATGTGCGGGGCAGTGGACTAAACATTCAGAGAGTGATAGAAGTGGTCTCTTACCCTTGAGGAACAGTCTAGATCTATGTGTGTTCAGAAGCTGGGTCATGGAAATAGTTGTTTTTTCCCTGTGACACATCTCCTGCCAGATTAGCCCTTCATCTTCAGGGGAACCGCTCATGACCTTGATGAGGTAGTTTGACCTCTACCTTTCATGGCCACGTCCTCATCTACCGTCTCTTAGTAGTTAATACTACTCCCATAACTTTCCTTTTCATATTGGAAATAGATATTAATTTATTATATTTTCTAGTTCTAGAATTTCTATTGGTTGGTTTCTTTGCCAGTATATCCTGGGGTATTTTTTTTCCCATTCATGTCAATGAAATATTTTCCTTTACTTCATTGCACATAGTTGCAAATGTGTAGTTGCATAGTTAACAATCTTTCTCTGCTAATTTCAACATCTGGGTCATTTTGGGATTGGTTTTTTGACACAGCATCACATTTTCCTGATTCTTTTTGTACTGAATGCTTTTAGATTGTATCCTGGGCAATGTCACACTGTGAAGAATCTGAATTTTATTATAGTCCTTCAAGGAATTTTGGTGTTTTCACTTTAGCAAACAGTTAATATGACTGGACTCAAAATGCAACTCCCACTTAACCAAACAATCAAATACCACTTCAGTTCTTTTATTTTTAACAAAACTGCTTTCCATCTTCCCTATGAGTGCATGATCAAAAATCAGTGGAAGCTTTGAGCAGAATTTGCTTTAGAATTTAGGGCTCCCTTCTCTGATTTTTTCCTTTTGAGAATTCTCTCCTCATTTTTCACTGACTATGGTTGCCCTAAACTCTGCTATCTGATTTTTTAGAGCAAAAAGACAAAATTTTAGTTGAGTTTTACTCACTTTTAGAGGCTAGAGTTAGTAACATCCTCTCTCAAGCTAAAAATCATTAAAAACAGGAAACCTACAGGATGGGTGTCAATGTTGATGAGAATCTCTCTAGATACCTTCAGGTCTATGACCTAAATGCCTTCAGATCATAGATTTGGGGGAGAAAAGGGGTTCTGAGTTTGCCATTACAGATTTAGCATATACAGATATCAAACTGCATATGAGCCTTTATTTTTATCTTAAGGGATGGTTGGGTCTTCTGTTAGGACCTTATTTAGCCAGTGCAGAAGCAGAACTCTTGCTGCACAGTGCTTCTCTGTGGGAAATTTTTTTGCAGGAAGGATTCCATTACTGAAAAATGAAACCAAAAGTTTGAAAATCCACTGTACTTACACAAATTTCCAGCCAATCTTTTAAGCCTCTAATATTACTTCTAAGTGACCTGCACGTCTAGCCTTTGTTGTGAACAGTCCCAGAGGTAGATACCCCGAGGTAGATACCCCCTCCCCTCTTTCCCCTGGGGTGTCTCACCCCACCCCTCAGCTTTAGCTTTCCAATGCCTAAATTTTTCTCCCAGTCTCCTTAATGGCAGAATTTTCACAAAGCTCCACGGAAGGAGAAGCCAGGTGTTCCATTTCTTGGATGAACATTTCAAATGGATGTTTTTAGTGGAAGAGAGTGATCAAAGGAAGTTTGCAGCTGAGCCTTTATTTTGACTTTTGGATTATACTTTTAAATAAAAGTCCGGTTATCCTCCCACTTGTAGCTTTCTAGAACTGAGCTGAGGAAGGCCATGAACAAGGCCCATCTCTACTGCTCTGATCTGCTTAGGAAGGAGGCAGGAAGATGACTGAGGTGGTAGGTAACTTGTAGTTAACTTAGAAGATAACTTCTAAGGACTGTGGTCTGGACCCAACCACGATGAAAGATCTGGGACATTACACTGTCTGAACTGAAAAGAGTAAGAGGAAAACTGTCACATGCCATTGATCATGGAAGTGGGAGACTTTGGTCTTACATTGAATTTGTTCTAACGCCATAATCTTTAAGAAATCTCCCCAGCTTTCTTTATGGATTTTTCTATTGAGAGGAATGTGTTTCAAGGAGTGGCTGCAAAGTAAATAAAGAAAATGTGCACGTGAAGGCATATGGAGGAAGAAGAAGTCACAACCTGGAGTGAAATGTTTGGATAGCTCTGGCTCCAGAAATTGCTCATTTTTACGTTCATATCACATACTTTTCCTAATCTCCTACAGGGTATGTGTCTGGAAGCATATTGGTCACCTTGTCCCTCTGAGGAACAGAGTTTTAAAAGTGTTTCCTTGACACCCTAAATACAATGTTGTATGTTATTTTGAGTTAGCAAATTCCTTGATAAAGCCTCTAATCCATTTGTATACTGCCTGTTTTTTTACCACCCACACTCCTGTTAAGAAAACCAAAAAAAAATAAAATAAAAAAGAAAATAATGTACTCTTTCTAATTGTCTCTCTTGCTTTCTTAATTCCTTTTTTTTTTTTTTTAATAGAGTCAAAAGCAACAAATGCAACTGTGGATCCCCGGTCATTTAGTCTCAGGCATTCCAATGACAGATATGAACCATTCCCCATGGGGGAATATGAGGAGGAAAATGAAAGTGGGTTAACTGAAGACAGATTCAACCCCATCAACAAAAGTAGTCCTCTTCCAAAACTGCCACCTGTGTTCATCTCGGAAGATGTCTCGGGATACCTGACCAGCGCCTGGTTGACTCTCTTTATCCCTTCTGTCTACACCGGCGTGTTTTTAGTCAGCCTTCCTCTCAATGTCATGGCCATCATTGTGTTCATCTTGAAAATGAAGGTCAAGAAGCCTGCTGTGGTATACATGTTGCACCTGGCCATGGCCGATGTGCTCTTTGTGTCTGTACTCCCATTTAAGATCAGCTATTACTTTTCTGGAATGGATTGGGTATTCGGGTCTGAAATGTGTCGCTTTGTCACGGCCGCGTTTTACTGTAACATGTATGCATCCATCATGCTCATGACCGTCATAAGCATTGACCGGTTCCTGGCTGTGGTGTATCCCATTGAGTCCCTCTCCTGGCGTACTTTGGGACGGGCCTCCTTCACTTGCCTAGCCATTTGGGGGATGGCCATAGCTGGGGTGTTACCTCTTCTCCTCAAGGAGCAAACCACCCAGGTGCCGGGGCTCAACATAACCACCTGTCATGACGTGCTCAATGAGACCCTGCTTGAAGGCTATTATGCATATTACTTCTCAACCTTCTCTGCTTTCTTCTTTTTTGTGCCCTTGATCATTTCCACAGTCTGTTATGTGTCTATCATTCGATGTCTTAGCTCTTCCACGGTTGCCACCCGGAGCAAAAAATCCCGAGCTTTGTTCCTGTCGGCGGCTGTTTTCTGTATCTTCATCATTTGCTTTGGGCCCACAAATGTCCTTCTGATTCTGCATTACTCATTCCTTTCTCAGGATTCCACCACAGAGGCCGCCTACTTTGCTTATCTCCTCTGTGTCTGTGTCAGCAGCATAAGCTGTTGCATTGACCCCTTGGTTTACTATTATGCTTCCTCTGACTGCCAGAGGTACCTCTACAGTATCTTATGCTGTAAAGAGAGTGCTGATCCCAGCAGTTACAACAGCAGCGGGCAGCTGATGGCAAGTAAAATGGATACCTGCTCTAGTAACCTGAATAACAGCATATACAAGAAGCTGTTAACTTAGAGAAAGGGGGCTGCTGCTGACTTAAAAAGATAAGGTAAAAGAGCAAATAACCTGAGGATTCTATTAACTATCCCCCCAAAGTATGGGCTTTACCATCTAAAAACAACAAATATATTATTGCATACCTCCTTCTTATAAGGGCCATTAAAGTATATATATTTGTTAGTTACAGAAAAATGGAACAGGAATAAGAAAAGAGTATTGCCAATGCCGCATGATAATGAAGGTCACGTTCTGATATATTTAGGTGATGTGTGTGTATCTTATGCTGTGTGTCTCTTATGTTACATAGATGTGTCTACACACAGATATCATTTGCAGAGTGGTATGGAATAGGCACTTTGAAACCCCTTTCTCCTCTCTCCCTCTAGTGATGGTGGAAATAAACTCCAATTCTCTGATTTAATAATCAAGATTTGGGTCTATGGGCTTTAGCCCTGAACATCAGAAGATATCCATCAATTGTGAGCGGTTCTACAGTTTGGACTTAGCTTATGTACATCACTGTACTTTGAAGTGACGCAACAGCAATGTTTACGTTATTGAGGGTTAAGATTTAGTACTGTGTAGAAAAGTCTTACTGTTTTTTCATTTCAAAATATCAAAGTATGACACCTCAACATTATGAAAATAGACTGCATGGTAGCATTTTTGATGTTTTACATGCTGTGTGTATAAACTAAGCGTGAGGCTGCCACTGGAGAGCTGCAGTTGGTTTTCACAGTAACCTGCCCCTGGTGGAGGACTATGACTGAGCAGTGGCTACAAGGCAGGGCCATCTTATACAGGGGTTGGCCAGAAACCCTCCAGCCAAGGAGCAGAGGAATGGGTCCTCACCACATCTGCTCTTTCTTCCTGAGATTCCCTCAAGAGTTCACTGGATTGATCACGTTTATTAGAATGTAGTAAAGCAGTGTGTGCTACCCCAGGAAATAAAGACTGTAAGACTTCTCTGCCTAGTTTAAGACTGGAGGAAAAAGGCATGCTCTTCCAGCAGTTACCCTGCATGATCCCTGCTCAAATGGAAACCCTTGGAGCAAACACGAAGTCCTACTGTGTGCCTTGTGCTCTCTGGTGAGTGCTGGCTTACAAAGTTGAATAATACTGAGACCTGCCCTCAAGAACAAAGTAGACTGATACATAGAGTGTGATATGGGTAGAAAAAATGTCGTTATATAAAAAAGTGCTTTTAGCCATATGTCACCAAGCATGTTCACACAGGCAAGGCCTGTTAGTTGAAGAACTTTGAACATTTATGTTACTGCTTTCTGTGGTTTAATTTGAAGTAAAAATATAAAACAAGAAGTATATCTTTAAAAATACATCTTTCAATTTGCATTAATTGCAATCTTCATAAATTTTTTTTACAAAATTAAATAAGATGTCAGTCTGATTGGACGTAATAGAAGAAAATGAAACTGACTTTGAAGTTTAGGAAAATATTTTTATATTTATTCACTTTTCTTAAGAGTTCATGAGATGATTATAAAAGCATTTTTAACCCCATAACAAGTTTCAAGTACAGAAATCCTCATGTATTTCACAAAATAATTTGAAATTTAGGTTGAAATGTACTTTTTTTCCCTTATGAAAAAATACTGGCATTTTAAACAGACAATAATAGTGGACAGTTGCAAGGCAAATGTTTACTTATTTAAAAGAGGAAATATTCCAAATGCTATAATTCATATGAAAGCATGTATTCTAAGTAGAGGCTAGCATTGATTGTATTAATTTAGTCACTGTATTTTATTCAACTCAGTGGAGCTTTACTGTCATTGTTTATTCAGTCTCTATATATTTAAATACCTCTGACTTAATATGACTATCACTACTGTACTATCAGTTTGTACTTACAAAATATTATGTCACTGTTTTTATGTTTTTTTTTAAAGAAATTTATGTAACCTATATTAATAAACATGAAAAATTGCATGGTGTCTGTTTGGAATGAATTTTTATTGTCTTTCAGGACCCTGGCAGGAAGGTCACTCTAAGGGTTTCACTCATGAGCATATTTACTGAAGAGGCAATTTGCAGAGGTGTGGACAGGGTTAATTGAACCAACAAGGGACGCTGTAGCATCCCCAAGGGCTAGCGATTAGGGGAAACTGTTACCATCCCCAGCCCAAAGTGGTGGAAAAGGGAATATACTGACCCCCAATCCTCTGATCTCTTGCTGGTACCTCCCATCGCTGGGAGGATGGGATCTTAACCCAAACCCAGAGATCAAGGAATACCTGGGTGATGTCATTCGTAAAGATCAACTTCTTTTTTTTTTTTTTTTATAGAGGCATGTTTTTTTTTTTTATTTATTTATTTGTTTGTTTGTTCGTTTGTTTTGTTTATACATGCACTGGGGACAGTCAGAAGCGCAGGAGGGTGAGAGAATTCACCAGAGCCAGAGCGGGGAGCAGAGCAGGCAGAAGGAGCGAAGTACACTGCTGAGGGGAGCAGCGGGCGGCAGGAGAGGTCTGCGCACCATGTGGGACCCTCCTCTGGTGGCCGGGGAGCAGCCGGGAATCGAACCGGCGCTGCAGAGGCTGCGGGCAGCTTCGCAACCCAGCGCTCAACCGCTGCGCCACCGGGGAGGCCCAAGATCAACTTCTTGGGGCACAGAGAATGGATATGGAAAAACTGATGGAGGGAGAAAAGCACTGTTTCCACCAGAGGCACTGTCTTTTTTTTTTTTTTTTTTTTAATTCCTTTTTAGGAAAATTCAAGATTATATCCTTGAGAATATGTTTCAGATCCTGGATTCTAAGCATCATGGGTCAAGTCTGAAGTTCTTTCCTAAGGAAGCGCAAAAAACGTCAGAGTCAGGTTGAAACCTGAAGAAGGGCTGCCCATGGGTAACAATAGTTTGCCATCTAATGCTTCCTGAGGCAAGGGTGGTGAAGGAAGTTGAAGCAAAATGACAAGGACCTCTGAGAGCTGAAAACCAAATTCTATATCTAGATTCAGTCAATAGAAAAATTATTTCAACTAAACCAGAATCTGTTAACTCACAGAATTTTTAATTTAGTACAAAAGTGTTTTAAGTTTCTGATGCCTGGCACTGGACTGAACACCAGAAATACCATTCCCATTCTAATCAGAAAGTGACCTTTAAACTCTTCTGTTGTTATTTTTCAAATCTGTTTGAGTATATAAAAAAAAAACACTTGAATTTTCTTATGTAGAAATTTTTTTCACCAACTTAAAATAGCATTTTTAAGGAAATGGAATATTTGGCTGTTGAACATGCACATGGAAAATTTTAGGTTATACTTCTGAATTTTAGAAGTTAAGAAAAACACTGACATGCTACTCAGGAAGTCTTGAGCACTGAGAACAAATGGGAAATGTTAAGCAGCATTTAAATTTCTTAATAAATAAATAAATTTCTTAAGCCTGGCTCACCTGGGCACCACAGTGAAAATTAAGACAATAGTAATTTCCAAACAGAATCATAACTGCATGACTATTCTTACTTTCAAAATTACAGACCAAGTGTGTATGGAAAACAACTGACCACAGGATAAAAGAAATTATGTTTTAAGTAAGCTACAATCTGACCACAGTGGAGAAATTCCCCAATGCAGTGATCCTGAGACCCTCTCAAGAGATGTAGAGGTCAAAAGTCTTAAAACATGACAGTGCAACAGATTGAATGCAGAAGATAACGAAAATCTTCTGTTAAGACAAGGATTAAAGAGATTTGCAAAAATATAAAAAACAATGCAACTCTTCTCATTAAAGCATTTGGGGGGAAATTATCTAAAATAATGTATGTTAACATGTAATGGCTTTATTGTTTTTTTAAGTGAAATAGTTTCAAAAATTTTTCATTTTCATGTCTAGCATGGTCAGTATTGATAATAATCAGTGATTTATTGGTGACCAGATCTCCAGAAAAAGAAACAAACCCTGATTTGTAGCATTTGCCAATTCCCTTGGTATAAATACTCCCTCTATTGCCAATTTCAAGTTTTCATAGGTTTAACAGTTGACTGGAAAAATTCCTGAATATTAAATTCTGATGAACTGGTGCAAACTGATTCTAGCACACACCTGGATAAAACCTACACAAACAAAAACTCTTTGAGGTCTTCAACAATTTTCTTGTAAGGTATGCTGAGCACACAAAGTTTGAAAAGATTGCTCTTATGCAAAATATTCCAGCTTAATTGCCTTTAAGAAGACATTGAAACCAGTAATTGTAAAGCACAGAGAAGTAAATAGATGGCTTACAGCTGCAGGGTAGCACTTTGGGTTTCTTTTTTTTTTAAGATATTTATGCATACAAGAGCTGGGGTGCAGGCCAGGGGTGGGGAAGGTGGGGGGGTGAGAGGATTCACCAGAGACAGAGTGGGGAGCAGAACAGGATGATTGACTGGAATACACTGCTAAGGGGAGCAACGGGCAAGATAGGAGACATCTGCTCTGGCCATATGGATCCCCTGGCCAGGGGATCCAACTTGTGCTGCAATAGCTGCGGATTGCTTCATAGTACTGACGCTTAACCTTTTGCACCACCAGGGAGGCCCCGCACTTTGGGCTTCTGACAGCCCAGAGTGGTTCAGAATCTTGAAGCAGCAGAAATAAGGCAGTAGGTCTTACATGGCTGTAGAGGCAGGAATGGGCACAGAGCAGGATCTTTATGACCCAAGCAGACAGGGTAAGGGAGAAGTGAGTGCTGGAGACCTCAGTGGCATTTCAGGCTTTTATTGGGATTTACCAGGTATACAGCAGGCAGGGGTGCTGGGGGACCAGGAGGCTGGTAGGCCTCACAACCCCCAGCAAGTCTTCACTCTGGGTTCTCCGGCCTTCTCTGGTGGTTCTGCTTTTGCTTCTCTGTGTCTGCTTCTCTTGGCTTTTGCTGGCGTCCCCGTGACGCCAACCCTAAAAGCCCAGTCTCAACCCAGGTGAATCCCATCTACATATGCCCACACCCTATCCAGGTGCCCGCCATCAGGCATGCATTCCGGACCACAGGGTTCCGTCATCTATCCTAATGGCGGGAGGGCAGAAAAGCCTGTTACTTTTTACCTTACCCTACAATGGCCTAGAGTTGGAAAGCTCTATGTGAGGCCTGGTTTCCAGCCAGCAGAGGTGAACCACAGCTTGCACTGCCTACTGGTTCTGGCATCTCCATATAGTGAGCATCAAGTGCCACGCTTCCTGTAGTGGGGACTGTTGACTACATGCTCTTCTTCTGGAAACAGAAAACCAGAGGTTAGATTCAGCAGCATCTTGGAATTCAGATAACAGTAAGTTTCTACCTAGCCAGTTGTGTGTTCAACATTTCAGGAAATGACTCATAAGCGCTAGGGAACTTTGAAACCATATTTATAGTCACCTGGAGACAGTTAGTGGTGACAAGGTCAGTCTGGATGTTTTGTCCCTCTTAATGACCACAAAACTGGGCCATTTTAGCGTGACCCAGGAGCGTGCTGCTATGTGACCCAGGAAGGAAAACAGCCAAGGTTGGGATTGCCGGTAATGCAATGCATTTAAGGGCAAAACCGCAGTTGTTTCTTGTATGTTTTTGTTTTTTCATTCCTTATTTTCAGATAACTAGATGCTCTTGATACTGGCTGATGTGTCCTGACCTCCAGGAGCTGTGTTTTATTTAATTATAATATAAAACACTTAGTTATGGAGTTTGAGCATCTCAGGTTTTAGAAAACATTTTTATCAACTCTGACTCATTAAAAGAAAGTTTTAGAAATTTTAGTCAGTTCTCAGGTATGGCTGCTTATAGGATCACTGCAGCGCTTCTAAACAATTTCCATGCCCAGTCCCAGCTCTGGATCAATAAGAATCAGAATCTTTGGGGGTGGGGCCAGGGTATATTGTTTTCAAGTCCCTCAGAAAATTCTAATGTGAAAACCAGAGATAATACTCCTTACAGTGAGTGATTCTCAATGTAGCATGCTTGCAAACTACCTGGGGATCTTGTTCAACTACAGGCTGATGCATGCAGTCTCACATCAGGGCAGGACCTGCCTGTCTTACAAATTCCCATTAATGTTGACATCAGTGATTCTTGTACCATACTTTGAATGGCAGTGCCCTAAGAGATGGACCTGAGGTAAATTTGGTCAGCTTGGGGTCCAAACACTCAAAAATTTCAATTCTGATAACCTTAAAATCATTTTCTGGGGTAATTTCTTGTGGCAAAATTGGGGCAATTTTTATTTTATTTATTTATTTATTTTTTTAATAGAGGCATGTTTTATTTATTTATTTGTTTGTTTTTTTTTTGCTTTGTTTATACATGCACTGGGTACAGTCAGAAGCGCTGGAGGGTGAGAAAATTCACCAGAGCCAGAGCAGGGAGCAGAGCAGGCAGAAGGACCGAAGTACACTGCTGAGGGGAGCAGCGGGCGGCAGGAGAGGTCTGCGCGCCATGTGGGACCCTCCTCCGGTGGCCGGGGAGCAGCCGGGGAGCAGCCGGGGATCGAACCGGCGCCGCAGAGGCTGCGGGCAACTTCGCAACCCAGCGCTCAACCGCTGCGCCACCGGGGAGGCCCTGGGGCAATTTTTAATATAACAGTAGCATAGGTGCTTAATCAAAATTTGTTTAGGTGTTATCTATCCTGGTGTATATTTCACCCCTTTGGGGCTCTTCGAGGGAGTAAGATAGCTTAAAAGGTTCTAATCTCATACATAAAACCATTTCACAAGTGGGTGGGGGTTAGAGTGGAGACGGGTTTGGAAAGATAGTGGCTGATAGCAGCAGCGTCTGGTTACCAGAAAGCAGATGTGGATTTTTTTTGTCTCTGCGTCTGACTGAAAAATGGTGACCTCAGGGACAGCTGGGGATGCAAGTCAGCACGGGAGCTTCAGCTTTGCTGGTGCTGGAATAGGGAACTTTGCAAATCCTCAGACAAATTAGTCACCCCAGGGGTCATCCTGTAGAGGTCCTTGACTACACTGAGCCTGAGAG